TGGAACTCAGTGAGGGTGACCATGGCGGACAAAGATGTGAAAGAACGACCGGTAATAAGAGAACTATTTCCATCCTCGGCACTCCATATATGTGCTTTCCATGTCCTGCAAGCATTCCGCAGAGAAGTAAGTGTGCAGAAATTGGGAATCACAAAAGCTGAACAAGACACTGCTCTGGACCTATTGCAGCAAATGGTCTATGCAAAAAATGAAGACCAGTATGATGAGCTTTTTGCCTTGCTGCAGCAAACAGCAGCAAAGGGAGTAGTGGAATATTTCACTACCAACTGGCATGCCATTCATACAGAATGGACATTGGGATCAAAGTGGTCGTGCGGCAACTTTTTCAACTCCACGAACAACCGAGCAGAGTGCTTAAACTCTAAGCTAAAGCAGATTGTAGAGCGCTTTAGTTCTCTGGAATTGTTTGTTGAGCGATTCTTCGCCTTGATCAACACTCAGCGAAATGAGAAAGCTCACAAAGCAGCTGTTATGCTGCAAAAGAAGATAGTAATACCAAATGGCGATGAAGCAGCCAAATTGTACGCCACCCTGCTGACTCCCTATGCATTTCGTCATTTAAATGAAGAGCTACAAGCTTCCATGACTGTGACAGAAAAAATCAATTCTGCTATTACTCATGGCAAGATTTGTACAACTGAAGATTGTTCGTGTGCCTTCAGGAAATCAATGCTGTTGCCCTGTCGACACATTTTCGTTGTACGAACGGCATCCAACATGCCCAAGTACGATAAAGGACTATGTGCTGAGCGCTGGTTTTTAGATACTTATGTAGCCAATATCCAACTAAGAAAGAGTGATATGTGCAGTGACGTAGAGCATGTGCAAGTAAGCACTCACAGCAATGAAAAAAAATTGTCAGCACATCAAAAGTTTAAAAAAGCAGCTGGCGTTGCATCGAAGCTTGCAAGTATGACATCAGAATGCTCCACGGAAATGTTCAAGGAGAGGCTGGCTCTCCTAGAGACAATTCTCGACCATTGGAGAAATGGCTCTAAAGTTCATGTTACTGCACATGAGCCTGCACATCACTTGACAGCTGCAGTTGCAGCTGAAAGTGCAAACTCGGAAGGTTTTCCGGGGTCTGTTGTGGATGTACAGAGCAATGCTGATCAGAATTTACTGTGCAGAGCCTCGGAAGAGGCGAAACATCACCAGGAGCTCTCGGAAGCAAGCACTAAAGTCAGCGAGCATTCAAGCAGCCAACACTGCAATAGACAAGATGAAGCCAGCACAGATGAGAATTCTTTGTCGCAGCCTTCTGACCTTCAAAATATCAAAGTGCCAGTTGCTATGAAAAAATGTGGTCGTCCTAAAGGTCATGTGCTAACAGTTATTGGCCTTCCAAAAAAACGCAAGAGAACGGCAAGTCTTGGACCCTTCTCTGAGCTTACAATGAGAGAGAAAAAGCTAGCCGTGCTCAGTTGGCTGGTCGGGAAGCGGCAAGCATCAGATGCTATCAAAGGCAAACTACTTGACGAAGAATCTGTGGAAGCAAGGCCTGAAGACATACACGACGGCATTCGAGATGAAATGGTTGACATTAACCTAGTACGGCGTTTTTTCACAGATGATGCTTGGAAAGCTGTGCTAATGGTCCTTAGTGTAAAAAAGGACGAGGAGTGGAAGTGCACAAAATGCAAAACAAAACTAGATGACCATGACACAGTATCGTGTGACTGGTGCTTATTGTGGTACCACCTTCCATGTGTTGGTGTAAAACAGAAACCCAAGACAAAACTGTGGTAATGTGGCTCGTGTATAACCACTGCTACAGCGCAGTAGCACGTTGCCTTTGTGAAAAAAGCAGCACCTCCATATACAGGGTGTCGCACATAACTTGAGCCAAGAATTCGAAAGTGAAAGGCACTTAGGAGGCGAATTGAACCTAACGCATACTACTCGCACTAGCCTGTAGATATTCACAAGCTGGTAAGTACCTACAGGCTAGACCCCCTGATTAAAGAAAGCCCGTGAAATGTGAAAAGGAGTCGGGCGACGGACTGCGAGCGCACTGCTATAGTGCTGCTGTAGGCTTGCTTTACAACATGGAAAAAATAACAGCGCTAGATGTTTCGGACAGGAAACAATTTAGTCAGTAGTTTCTGAAAGTGCTTTACATGTCAGTGTTCATATTTTGGGTTTCCAGCCCATAAATAATAAAATAAATAATTAAGAATGATTAGTTAATTAGTATGGGGAGAAAAACTAGCCCGAGTTTCTATAGGCTAGTGCGAGTAGTACGCGTTTGGTTCAATTCACCACTGAAGTCTCTCTCATTTTCAAATTCTTGGCTCAAGTTATGTGGGACACCCTGTATAGCTTAATAGAATTTCGGGATTGTGCAATAAAATATTTTTCTACACTTTTCTATTTTCTAATCTCACCTACAGTATTGGCTGGCCGTTAGAGGCAAAGTTGGAATTACATATGAGTTGGCTTTTGTGCTCCTGTAGAAATTCAATTAACAGTGCTCTCAACTTTCAAAAAAGGTAGTAGTACTTGCTAACATTGGGATAGTAATGGTTTGCCACATGTGTTGCAATCCAGGTAGTACGTGCAGTTAGCAATGTTAGGGGTGGTAACTCCTACTACCTTTGCCTTTATTAACGGCATTTAGTAACTGTTCCTACCCTAGCTATTACTATTTACTACTACAGGTAGCATCTTCTAGAGATTTTAAGAAAAAGAAAAGTAGTAACTGATAGTACCCTGCCCATTTTGCCACATCATTTCACCATTGATAACACTGGTCAGTTTATGTCTCATTACTATGCAACTTCCGGTAATTTTGCGTTGTGTCACCATCAACGCGAAGATTACATGGTTGTAAAAAGTACACTAATGCTACAGTACTAAGTAAATGACTGGCGCGGTCTATATAGCCCCTACTTTAGGATGCATGTCTGGCACAGGTCGGCACTTGTGTCTCGGGATGAATTATAAAAATGCCAGCCTAGAGCACTATATCATACTAACTGTTTGTATTTGGGTCAGCCGTGCTTATAAAAAATTATGTCGTTTCTATTTCATATAAAAGTGAAAGTTATATCTACAGCAGCCTAAACTAGGTACCGACTCATTAACACAGTCTCAGTGCACTTTAATGGTTCACTGTGCCAATATATCCGCTGTTAGAAAGTAATAGTTTTGAGATTGTATAATAGTTTCTGAATTGTGTATTACAATGCATGCAGCACTTGCTTATGGGTCTTTAACTTGAACCTCTTCATTGTGATAATAGCTGAATGATGCTTAGATATCTCTATTGCGCAACTTTTTTTTTATCTAATGCATCATGCAAGTAACCTTTTATTTTTTATGTTACCAGCCACTGCACGTGTAATTACTGTCTTGCACAAGCGCCAAGAGAATTCCCGGGAGCAGTCCAGATTATTTCGAGATCAACTGTTGGGCTTGAGTGTGCAAATGCAACAGTTAAGTTTCACTGCTCGAATAAATGCGGCCACCAGCGATAACGCTCAGGTCGCGGGTTCGTATTCCAGCTGTGGCGGCTGCATTTCCGATGAAGGTGGAAATGTAGGCCTGTGTGCTCAGATTTGGGGCATGGTAAAGAACCCCAGGTGGTCGAAATTTCCGGAGCTCTCCACTACGGCGACTCTCATAAATATGGTGGTTTTGGGACGTTAAACCCCACATATCAATCCGTTTAAAGATGAAACGTTGAGACGATTCGTCTTGTATATGATACAATACGAGTTACTTATTATTTTAATTTGCATAGTTCATGGCCGGATTGCAAAAATTTAGAAGCAATATCAGTTACTACCTATTTCATTCCAATTACTGGGTACTAATCCATGGTGGTAAACAGTTTGTAAAGGTTGCAGCTAGTAACTATTTACTAGCGTACGTAGTAAACAGGTTGCAAAAGGTTGGTAATTCTTCAAGAAAAGTAGTAAACTTTGCAGTTACTACTTATTTGCTTGCAGACGCTACCTCGTTTACTCACTTTTTTTAAGAGTGTATAGGGAGTGCATGTTCGGCTGCCGTTAGAATGCTGACAAATTTTACACTGCCGGGAGAACTGCCAGGAGATTTGTCCCGGCAGTTACTCACCTGACATACGAGAGCCAATGGGAGGAGACTGCCGGGTGAAATTTCTTTGAATAATTCTCCCGGCAACCGGGAAAATAATACAAAAATTTTTCCCGGCAGTTAGTCACGTGACATGTGAGAGCCAATAGAAGGCGACTGCCGGGAGAAATTTTTTTGAACAATTATCCCGGTTGCCGGGAGAATAGACACACCCAAAAGATAAATCTAGTTTTGGTTCATTAAGTATTACGGATAGGTGGCGTTAGCCGGCGCCCGATCTAAAGGGTACAGCCACATGAATCCATCCATCTAGAGCCTTAGCGCGCGAGGATAGCGGCTAGAAAGCCTAAACGAGTCATCCCTTCCCTAGCCACATTAGCGAGCTGCTTAACCAACACGAGTTCCATAATAATGTGAAAACCATGGTGAGTAAAAAACTGCGATTACACCTAGAGAGCCGCAGTCGGATAGGTAATGAACACTCAAAACTTTTTTTCTATATTTGCGCTCAGTTTTCGCGTATGTTAGGTGTTGATGCCAGCGCCAGAACAATCGTAAAAAAGTAGCCATGTAGCCAACGTAATTTTTTTGTCACCGCGGCATTTTAAAAGTAGCCAATTTGGCAACCCTGGTTAACACCACACTTGCGTTTTGATGTGCATCCTCCATCATACGTATTCCACGCACTAGACGAGCACGCATTTACGTTTCTCCTGTGAAAATGCGCTGTATATTTCCAGCTCCGACGACTCGAATTGTGCTACCTTGGAGAGTCTCGCTTGCAAAACCATTCTACGGTCGCTCCTTACCGCCCGCGTTCTGCGGGACAAACATGACGGCAACGGTATTGTACCCAGCACTGCACATTACGTCACGCACTGAGTGTACTATATAGCATGCGAGGAATGTCAAATGCTTACCTGTTCGTTCTTCTTCCTGAGCACGAAGAACACGGTGTCGAGGAACTCGGCTATGCGCACGTGCAGGTACCACCAGCAGGCGTTCAGCACCGTCATGGACTGCTCCGTGCTCTCGTAGGTTATGCCCGTGCAGAGCCAGTTGTAATTGCCGCGCAGATAGGTGTTCTTGAAGAAGAACACCATGAAGCCGAAGTTGAGTGCGACCATGCACAGGTTGTAGATCCGAATGAGGGTCTTCAGGTGTATGGGCTTGCGGTCCTTCATCAACTCGGGTCCGACGAACTTGACGATGCACACGTACACCGCTATGAGCAGGTGGATGGGCAGGGGGTCGCCGGAGTAGAACCAGCCCACAGTGCGCGGATCCCGGGCCTTCTCGAGGGGCTCGATGATTCTGTAGAGCGGGGTGTGTTCGATGCCGAAGTAGCCCATGGCTGGACGGTGCCGGCTACAGTCACTCGGCTAAAGGAGGCTGCGACTATGGCGCGTGTAATCCAGCAGGCTGCACCTGTCACAACGCAGCGCTTACGGCCTGCGATGTTGAGCGATGGGCACCGCTTTCGCGACTGTCACCGAAGCCGTCGTGCGCGTTTTTAAGAAGCCGCTTCCTCGGATCGTACCCTCTCGGCTTTTTTTTTCTTCTTTTTTCCGGAAGAGCTGGCAAAACGACGCTCGAAGGTCGAGTTCTGGTGACGGAGTGAGGTGAATGCGCGACGGAACAGACTGCAGCTGGCTTGTCTGTTCTTATTCCTCGGGCACAAAGATGCGTACTGGGAGAGTGGCTCTGCACCTTTCAAAGGAAAAAAAAAGAAAAAGAGAGAAAAGGAGAATGCTTATTTCGTCCACCCCCAAATCTTTCGAAGGATCGAGAAAAAAACGTTTAGCCCCGCCGCATCGAAGGAAAGCGATGTTTCACAAAGCCAGGAAAAGGTGAGGAGGTGTGCCGGAAGAAGCGTGAGGTGACAAATAGACTGTATTATAGTGCTGCCCACCACACGTTTGTACGTTTCCTTTTCTGTCTTCCGCCCTTCGGCCTCTCTTGCACCGGTCTGTAAATCGAACAATTACGTCCTCCAACTCCCTCTCCGCTCGTTTTCGATGTTGTTCTATGCCGGATACATTAGCCTCTACCCTCTTCGCTAGGCGGTGCCGGTTTTGGCGACGAGGAACTATGAGCACCTCACATGTCGCACGTCGCTGCATGTAGAGGACGACACCTTGCTATGAATGCATACGTCCCACCGGTGATATAGAGCATTGTCTTCTTTTTCACGGCTGGCTAATGTGTTCGCGTGGCAATGGGGGCGAACGAAGGTCTGTTATGTTTATATCACCCACATACACATCGCGCGTGCATCGTTCATTGACTGCATTCAGGGATAGCACTGATGCGTACGGACCTCCCACCTTCCGGCATTGCAGCGGGGGGTGGTTTACCGTCTATCACGCGTCGTTGACCTCGGTCATGCAACTTCAGGACGAAGGGGTCACGAAGCCGTTAGCGGGACTCATTGGCGCGACTTAAGCAAAGCGCTACAACGGCGCCAGGGTTAAGTGCGATAAATTGAATGTTTGCAAAATATTATGGTACGTACGCGACCAACAACCTTTCCCAACTAAACCTCGACTGCAGAATAGCAAACCCCCATATTTACCGCTAAAACCTCTTCCCCACCTTTACAATCCACCACGTCCCCTTTACAACTGCAAAGCTTAGAACGTACCAAGAGGCGCGATATAACTTCATAGATGGTGTTGGACATACTCGCACAATTATTTGGAAAGACTTCGTGGTGCTCGCGTGCCATCGCTGGAACGTGGAGGGGTGAACGTGCTAACACCGAAAAAAGCCTGTCGGAAATGAAAGCTCAGTGTACGTTTAGAAAAATGCGCTGGCAGAGAAACCTTCTCGTGTCCCTGTCAAACGGGCGAATTTACAGCGAGTGTCATCTGTTCGAAGTGACGTGTACCTGTTCAGTATTAACTTTTTTCCTGTCACACGACGTATCTAATGTCATTTACGGCGAATGTCAGTCGTTGGAAGTGATGTGCCCCTAGTCAGTATTCACTTTTTTTTCTAGACGTCGTTGCGGGCTGTAGCGAAAGTGCTGTTCTTTCTTTTCTGAGTATCACTCGTAAATCACGACTACGATTAGGCTGGTGTGACGTCGTGTATTTTCTCTCATATATACATGCGTAGCTCGTTGGTCATGCAATGCTTGCATATTTTGGGCATACCCTGACACTGCGTGCAGTCGACACTAGAAGCTCGCGTACGACCACAGCACGAGCAGCGCCGTGGTGGACGCATGCTAAGACAACGGGCGCGCTAAAAAAAAGTTCCGCATCACGACTGTCATGTACTCTCCGACGTCGTCGTAAAACTCACGCTCACCGGCAAGCGCGCCTGCCTCAAACGCCTTGCTCTTGGCCCGCAACCTTGAGATCACGCGTCCTCGCGAGAAATACACTTAGATAGGCACGAGCATGCCATATTGGTGCTGTAGGCATGTAAAATAATGGCGTTATATAACGCTACTCAGCGACTCATTAGCATGCGGCGGCCGAGGTAACAAGATGCAGGGCGAGGCTGCCCGGCGGAACGGTTATCAATCCGAGGGAGTGCGCGTACAAGCGAGGCGAAGAACGTGCTACCCGCTTGTTCTTTTACTTTTTATCCGCAAGCGTTGCAGAAGAGAGTGAAAGCGACCGCCATGCTCTCTGGCAGAGCTCCGTAAGGAATTGCCAGCGTCCCCGGTCGCTCCCCGTAGTACTACATTCGCCAGGGCAAGCGAATCTGTGCGAAACAAGTTCAAGGTTATATACATATCTCGGGAACCTGCTGTCGTACTCTAGACGCCTGTCGTCGTCTGGGACAGGGTCGCGCTGCGAGGAAGTACATCTGATGGATGGTATAGCCGCGGCAACAGCTGGGGATTGCGCGGCTGCTGCTGTATGCCGCAGCATTTAGCAACACGTAGACGATGCATCCTGTAGATATTTATATACATAGCGTAACGGTACTCTCTTTCTTTCTTTTTTTTTGTTACGTCGGAGCTTGTGTATGGTTAGGACTCCATGCGTTCTTTCTGCGCGTCCTCGCGACAAATACACTTATGTAAGCACCAGCGGAGAGTGCACTGGTTGCATTGTAAGCGGGTTTATTTGATCATATTGTAACCGAGGCCGCACTAATTGGGCGAACGCCACCACTCGCCTCCCAGTCCACGGAAAATGAAGGGAACTCATGTGCGGCGAAGGTTTGCCAAAATCTGCACTCTCGTTCAGACCAACGTTACTAGACGTTGGTTCAGACTGCGCTCCTCGCCCACGAATTTGCCGCCAGTAAAGGTATTGCTAACACAAGGAACTGGACACTACTCTATGGAGGCCACAGTGCTACTTCATTATAACTTGTTTCTCTCCCCATCGTCACCCTTCATCACTTTTTTTATTCACCCGTACTTCCCCTGTGCGGAGTAGCAAACTAGCTTAGGGCGACCTCTCTGCCTTCCTAATAAACATTCTCTCTTTTCAACATTGCTTATCGGATAGTCCCGCCTCATTGTGGACCCTCAGCCTAGGCATGGTCACAGTCGTTCGCAGGACTCCCAGGGACATGCGGCAAGCCAGGAAACAAGATCATGCATGTCGCGAAGCAGAAAATACGGTAAAAAAAAGATATAAGTGAAACTCTGAGGAGCATTGGCTAATTTTAAAAACAAAGAGGATTCTTAAGGTTTAGCTTCTGGGTGCGTGATCGGACATTGTTCGAGAGTCTTGTATCAGATATGTGACCTATAGCTGCACGGAACAGGTGTGCCGGTGATTACACTTCACAGTGGAATGGCACACAATGCACACTTCGCAAAATTATTGGGCGCCCCTTGCTCCTTCTAACCACCATACCCTTGCGTACGCTTCAGGAACACCTGTTGGTTGGCTTTTCCCGCTGAAACATTTTCCGGCGAGAACTCTCGTTTACAGACTGCTTTTCTAGCTCCAAGCATGTTATCTTCTCCACTTTCCAGGGAACGTGCAGGTGCTCCAGGAAGACTTTTTAAAGCACAATGCATGAAAGTCATGCCTCATTGTATGCCCCCTCCCACTGCAACGAGAAACGGAAGAATCGAAATAAAGGAAAGACTAGGGTTCACGGTAAACGAAAAAAAAAGTTTTCTAGCTAGTTTGTGGTCAAGGCTATTCGGTTTGAAACAAACTTGCTCGCACATGAGCAGTAACTTTTTACTTGCAAACACCGTTTTTCGCGCAGTAGTGTGACTGTTTTGGAGTTTATCTCATCATTGTTTCGGTTTCAGATGATCTAGGGTATGATTGCGCTGTCAGCCGTTACAAGGAAATGAAAGTGACGAGCAATCCCCAGAAATGACTCAGCGCAGGTGACCGGCTCACAGGAATGCGAGGAGCCATGTCGGCGCGCGTGCAAGTTTTGATTTTTTTTTTGTTGTTTTTTGCAGGTAGAGGCGAGCTTTGTTTGAACTTTCTTTCTCAGACCTTCTACGCGTCAAAAGCGGCTCCGAAAGCTTAAATGCATAAAAAAAAGAATAGAGAGCGAAGCAAGACTGGGGGAAGTGCTTATGGCACTGCAAACACACAAACATGCGGCGGACTTCCAAGGTCTGCTGAAAAAGCGGAATGTCGTCAGTTCGAAGATTTTTTCACATGGTATGATCAGCGAGTGTGTTTTTGGATATACATCAGTGCCAACGCATCTGTTCACTCTAAATAAGACTGAACTAATTCATTAACCTCGTATTTTTAAAATGGAGACAAATGATAAGAGATATCGACCATCGGCAATTTTCTACTGACATGTCCCCGTTTCGAAAATCAAAGAAAAGGAACGTTTTAAATTTATTAAAAAAGCTGTTATTCACATTCAACAGACGATCATAACCAGGAAAGTGCATATTTTTTGTCTGTTAGATCTCATTACTATTGTGCCAGCAACAACAACAACAAAACAGAAAACGAGGCCTAAGCTGTAAAATTCTTTCCTGCATTCAAAAAAGAAAAGAAAATGAAGGAATGCAGCAACAGGACCGTCTGCGGGGCCCCACTGCGGATTCCTGTGTGACTCAAGGAGATTATCTCGCTGGCCATTCATCAACTCATTCCAAACCAAGCTTAAACTTAGGATTTCAAAATTACACAGCATTGATTTAACCTAGAGAGTCTTGTATTATCAATAATCCTCAGCCATTTGAAAAAATTGTACTTTGTCTTCTATTTTCTTGTGTCAAAAGTATTGCATTATGCTAAAAATAAACAAAGCAATATTTTTTTTTTAGCGTGCGTAAACCTTCATTTTTCACTTGCGTTAACCACAGGCTTCTTGGCCAATCTGTGCGTAAGAGCCAGAACAGAGGTATAAGTAAGCAGCTATAGAAGTGCTCAACTTGGCTGTGGAAGCAGACTGGCATTCCACGTGTCGACAAGCGGATGGTTGTAAGTTGGACTTTACGCGATAGAACAATGGATAGAAGAAAAGCATTCCGTGTTACGCTTTTTTTTTTTTTGCAGAGCCCTTGATGCGTTTGCGTTGATGACTGCTTGATTCGCTGGAAAGACGGAATACGTTCGCATAGTGCCCATCCATGTGTCAGATAAAGTGTATTCATTCATTGCGGATGAGAGATACAGCTGTCGAGCTACTACTTTTGTTGGTTATGGTTTAGCCACATGTGTATCTGCAAAGTCTACACTTCTTTTGTGTGTTTTCAAATAAACTATGTGGTGATATAGGGAGCGCCTATGCGTTCCACCATT